TTGTTATCTCTTTGGGATACAGCCCTAGAAGTGCTATAGCTGGGTCAAAGGCTATGCACATTTTTATAGACCTTTGGACATAGTTCCAAGTTGCTCTCCAAAATGGTTGAATCATTTCACAACTCCACCAACAATGGAATAGTGTTCCAATTTTCCCACATCTTCTCCAACATTTACCATTTTCCTTTTTTGTCATGTTGGCCAATCTGATGGGTGTAATATCGTACCTCAGAGTTGTTTTGTTTGCATTTCTCTAATCAATAGTGATTTAGAGCATTTTTTAAATATGGCCATAGATGGCTTTAATTTCTTCATCTGAAAATTGCCTGTTCATATCCTTTGACCATTTATCAATTGGGGAATGTCTTGTATTCTTATAAATTTGACTTAGTTTTCTATGTATTTTAGAAATGAAGCCCTTATCAGAGATACTGGTTATAAAAATTCTTTCCCACTTTTCTGCTTCGCTCCTAATCTTGGTTGCATTGGCTTTGTTTGTTCAAAAATTTTTCAATTTAATATAATCAAAATTGTCCATTTTGCATTTCATAATATTCTCTAACTCCTGTTTGGTCTTCTCCACAAATCTGACAGGTGTTGTTCATTGTATTTATAGCCTTTTAAAAACAATTTCTCACTCATTTCTTTGGTTGCTGCTGGCTTTCTGTGGGGATTTTCTTGTGAGAATGTCTTGCCTTTCCCCTCTTTTTTCCCCCCATGGTTTTTCTTTTAATTCGTTTGGTATATTTCTTGCTGTTTTGTCATGATAAAGGGGAGCTGGTTTTAGATCTGACCACTTACTCAGATGTTTTGTTGGAAATCTTTTGTGGATAATAACACTGGAGGAACTACAGCTGAGTCTTGATGAGTAGGAATAATGAATCCTCTGAAGTGGAGAATTATTTGAATTTCTCACTGCTTATTTCCATTGGGCTTGAGCTAGTTACCATAATTTACATGATCATGACTTCAAATAGTGCGAATTAGAATACATGTGACTACTTGTTACTGCTTCAGGGGATTCATTATTTGAACTCATCTAGATCTAGCTGTACCTCACAGGGTTATTGTAAGGGTGAAGTGAGATAATATACACGAAGCACTTGGAACATTATGTAAATGTCAGCGATTATTATGTGTTAGTTTTAATACTAGATGTGGAGTGTGACTGGAGTAGAACAGAGATTAAGACAATATGCTTCAGTAGCATTGGAGGAGATGGAGAGAACTTTCAACTTTGACTTGGAATGGGGTGGGGAGGGGGACCTTGGAAGCTCTATAGAAGAAATGCCACTAAATCAATCCTTGAAGGAAAAGGAAGATTTCAACAAGTAGAGATAAGAAAGGAATATTTCTAGGCATAGTTGACAGATGGGAAATATCAGGATAACTTTGGAAAATGGATTGTAGACTAATTTGCATGGAGTTGGGCCACTGCAGTGAATAGTGTCAAAGTTTTTCTTTAAGAGGTACCTACAGCTTGCTCAAACACTTAGAGAAATTCTCAGCTGATATCTTAGGGTTTTCTCATTACAAGTTGTACTTGCCTACAGAATGCAAGATAGGGTATTACATGAAGTAAGACCAGAAATATAGATTGAAATAGTTTAAAGAAAACTTTATATGTCTGATTGAGAAGTTTGAATTTTATCTTATTGGTAGCCATTGAAGGTTTATGGGGAGAGAAAGGAAGTGATGGTCGGTCAAACTTGTGTCTCAGTAGAATTGTGTTTGGTGTGATCTGAAGGATAGAAATGGGGATACTGGTGGGGACAGAAATTATACTAGTCTAAGTGAGAGGTGATGAGAGATTGAACTAGAATGGTTCTAAGTATGAATGGAGAAAAGGGGACAAATGTAATTCTTGGTGTAGAAATGGAATCAATAGGACTCGGGACCTAATTGCATGTAGGCCTGTGGGTGAGGGACAGAAAAGGAGTCCCCAAAATGACTCATTAGATTTATAGCTAGTTAGGGATCTTAGAGGTTAGCAAGTCTAATCTCTTCATTTTATAGATGAGGAAACAGATCCAGACAAGTTAAGTGGCTGAGGTCACATATGTAGTAGAACTAGAATTTGAATCCACCTTTCTGACTCCAAATTCAGCATTCTTTCCATTGTACCAAGTTGACCCTAAGGTTTTGAACTTCATTGACTAGGAGAAGGTAATACCATAAATAGAACTAAGACAGGTAGAGTGAAGGATAGGTTTATGGGGAAAATAAGTTATTTTGCTTTACCTAAAATTCAAGGGAAAGTGTTTTGTAATTGACTACCTTGACCATTAACAAATCCCACTATGACTATCTGAGTTTTGAATAGTCCTGTATCTTTATGTTTCTTGCCATGATGTGTTAGCTGCTAACAGATAATTCTTAAATTCAAGCAATTGTATCAACTGAGTCATTGGAATAAAATTACTTAGTGACACTGCCAAATGCAACAATTATTGTTTTGGTATAGATAATGCTAAGTTGTTTCTGACATTATTAATGAGTAGCTTCAGTAGATTTAGATAAAATATCATCTATATAGAGGAAGATGCTTGTCTTACCATTTGCTCTCTCTGGAGGCCTAGCATCCTATGTTAAGTTATTTAGGTTAAGAATGGAGTGGGAGAGGGGCAGCTAGGTGGCACAGTGGATAGAGCACCGGCCCTGAAGTCAGGAGGACCTGAGTTCAAATCCGGCCTCAGACCAGTCACTTGACACTTACTAGCTGTGTGACCCTGGGCAAGTCACTTGACCACAATTGCCTAAAAGCAAAAAAAAAAAAAAATAGAATGGAGTGGGAGGTCATAGCTCTGTTTTATAGTTCTTAGAATGAGAATTTCATCTGTCAGTGGCATTCTCTGATTTTGGCAGGAATGTTGTAAAGCAGGCTTTGAAAGAGTATTCATAGCCTAGGATCTATAATAAGATTATTCAGTTTGGTCCATAGATGGTTCTTGTCTGTGAAATCAAAGGCTGATGAGAAATCAGTCAGCACTGCTTAGGAGTCTTATGTCTTAATGTTTTGTTTTTTTGTTTGTTTGTTTTGTGAAATTAAACAGTTATCATTGTTGTTGGGAGTATGATGATTATACTCAAAAACCTGCTTATTTTATGTGAAAAATGTTAGATTAAGAGTCCAGTCCTTTTGACAAGAGAGATGGTGTGGAGTTTTGAGTGAACTATCTAGCAAGTTTATTTGTCACTATGTTTGGAGAGTTGTAGTGTTTTCCATTGTAAGAACTGGATAGATTATACTTTGAGTCTCTTCCATTGGAACTTGTTCCCAGAAGGAGGGGGAGGGGAACTGGAGGGGGAAAAGGAATAAACATTCCGTGCTTACTATTTGGTATGCTTCATGGTTACAGATATCTCATATGATCTTCACCACAACTCTGTTAGCTGCTGTTATTATCTCCATTTTAAAGTTGAGGAAATGGAGGTAAACAAAGGTTAAATGACTTGCCCAGGGTCACACAGCTAGTGAATATAAGTGTCTGAGGCAGGGTTTGAACTCATTTCTTCCTGACTCCAGGCCCAACACTCTGTCTCAAAGAGTTAGGCAAGAAGTACTTCGTTTTAATCTCTGTATCCCCAGTGTCTAACAAAATATTTGGTTTTTAGTATCTGCTTAACAAATACTGATTGATTGATTGATTGGAATAGCCTCAGTAGACTAGGGCCAACCCATCCTAAGTTAGGTAATCAAACTTTTTAGAAGTGGATTGGGTCTTGGAGAGTGAGAGTGACCAAATCCCAAATTATTGAGAGCTTAAGTAATGCACTTATTTTTTTCAAGAGACCCCCTTTTTTTTTTTAACCAATCCAAGAGGAAGAATCATCCTCAACTGAACAACTTTTGTAGGGAATAGGACTAACTCCTGGGCCTAGGTAGAATCTTAATCATTTCCGTGACAAAATCTGATTCCCTTCCTACCTGAGAAAACTAAATTAGAACCCCTAGCCTGTTAATTTATGTGAGGTTGCCAGTGGGTACTGAGGTCTTGCCCTTATGAGAGTTGTGTGGGAAAATCAGGGCTGAAGCTCTTCTGCAGGATTGTCCTGTCTTCACCATTCAGTTGTTTCAAAGAAGACCACCTAGTTAGACTCTGAGAAGGGAAATGCTAGTTTCCTAAAGTATGTAGGTTTTCCATAATGTGGCTACTTTGTTCAGCGTAATAGTTGTGTTTTCAGTAAGTCAACAAACATTTATTAACTACTTAGCATGTGCCAGGTATTGTTCTAAGTTGGGGAAACAACTAAAGGCAAAACAAACAAACCCAGAACTTACTACCTAAAGGAGGCGATTATGAAAATAACTGGGTACATATAAGACGTATACAGAGTGGAGGAAGGTAATCTAAAAGGAAAAAAAGGGGCAGCTAGGTGGCGCAGTGGATAGAGCACCGGCTCTGGACTCAGGAGGAGCTGAGTTCAAATCTGGCCTCAGACACATAACACTTACTAGTTGTGTGACGCTGGGCAAGTCATTTAACCCCATTGCCTAACCAAAAAAAAAAACCAAAACGAAAAAAAATAGGATTTGTGGAGACTACGACAGGCCTTCAGAAGAAGGTGGGATTTGAGCCTAGTCATGAAGGAGACCAGGGAAATGGAGGTGTGGAGACAGAAGATCACAGGCTTGGGAGGACAGTCGATACAGAGGCAGAGATGGGAGATGGAGTGTGATGTTTGAGGAACTTCAGGTAGGCCAGTATCACTGGATTGCAAAATAAGTATAGTGAAGTAAGTCATCAGAAATACAACATAGGAACAGACCAAGTTGTGAGAAATGTTAAATGCCAGGACCATATTGATCCTGAACTTATTTGAGTTTCACTGTGGGGCAAGGAGGGGATTGGAAGAGGCATGTGTGTGTGTGTGTGTGTGTGTGTGTGTGTGTGTGTGTGTGTGTGTGTGTGTAGTGCGGGGGGAGGAGTGGAAGAGACACTGTCACACCTGTTCTTTAGAGTAACTTTTGAAGTCAATAATGTCTACTTTATTTACAGGCCAGGCATCAGCTTTACACTCTGAAGCAAACAATATCAGGCATCAATGTGTTATGTTTCTTCATTATGTGAAAGTTTTCATCTTTAGGTAGGATGTCATTTATTTCTTAAAAATTTTGTGGCCCAACATGCATATATGATCGATGTGTAGTGAATAACAGTATCTTATGGGTTTCCAGGTACCTAAGAATACATGAGACAGAGAATGATGTTCCAGTTCACCCATATGAGGCTTTGGAGGCCCAGCTTCCCTCAATATTAGTTGAAGAACTTCATGGATTGATCTTATACACTGGCCGTCTGTCTGACCACCCCAGTGTTATCCCAGGAGCATTTGTAGTGCAAAACCAAATAAAGGTTCGCCTTATTTTGTTCATTGTTAAAATATAGTTTTCACTGAAATTTTTGAAAAATGAATTTTGCAAAATAATTATAGCAACATTATCTGGTCACTCTTCCCCAGTGGAAGAACATTAAGACAAACAGTCATTGAAATCAGCATCCTTTTTTGTGTATCAGTAAATAACAGTGGAAGCAGAGCAAGAAGTCTGTGGAAACAAAGTAAATTAAAAATACACACACATTTGTTTTTTAAAGTTTCTATTGCCTTCCTTTTAGGGAGCTTAGATGAAAGCTACGAGAACCCAAGGAACTTTCTCATTTCACTGTGGAGAAGCTTATAGAATTAGCAGAAAAAGTATTTGCATATGTACCACAGTCTCTCAACTATGATTTTTGTGGACCCTTTCTAAAGTGTGATTGAGATTTTTTTTTTCTAATGTGCTTTTAATCACTGTCTTCATTCCTATTGGGGAAAAAGAAAATAATACTTTTATCTTGTGTTTTTGTTTTGTTTTGTTTTTTTAATCAAACAGTAATATCATAGTGCCCTCCATGAGCTTGATGTATGAAAAACAGAATTTACACAAATGATAGATTTGAATAACATAGATTTTCCTGAATATATCTCATAGAAAGGGAAGTAGACATTACTGTAAAATGCTAGCACTGTTATGATTTTTTTTACTGCTTCTGACACCTTTAAGAAAATTAAAATAAAATTCCGCTAAATCCTAAGATGTTAGAAATCTTAACTCCAGAGGTCATATGGTCTGATCATTTACCTGTCTTCATGTAAAAGAAGGTATCAGTACGTCTAATAGCATTCAGAGTAATCTCATGAAGAAGTAAAATTCCACAAATGTTTACTGCAGATCTCTGCTTTGCCTGTCAGTTTGGAAGATAGAAAAGTAAGACTGACACCTGTTCTCATGGAGCTTATAATCAAGTAATTGTGATAAGATATATATATAAGTAAGAGTGACATAAATTAAACTGTAAGTACATGAGAAGGGTATTACGGACAAAAGAGGGAAAGATTACTTCTAAGTTGGGGGTCTCTATCTTTCCTGCTCTTCCCTATTCCTCTCTTTTCTTTCCTCGTCTTTTCCCCATTCCTGCCAGATTCCCATGGAATACTCTGAATTTGTCTTTTTTTTCCCCCACGTAAGAATTTATGTCAATTTAAAAAAAACAACAAAACCCAGGAGAATGTGCAATTTAAACTAGCAACAGGAAGAAAAAAATGGAAATAAGCATAAAGTCATGTAAATGATCATGAGGAAAGTGTGACCACCTGTTCCTGATTCTTTTGGAATAGGATGGTACTGACTTGTGATTGCATTGGTATTCGGAACTCCTTATGAGGAAACCTCAGTAGTCATCATCAGTGCAGACCAACAACTTCTTTGTAACTTTGTGTCAAGCTTTTAGGCTTGGAGTCAGGAAGATTTAAGTTCAAATCTGACCTCAGATACTTAGGAGCTGTGTGACCCTGGACAAGTCACTTAATCTCTGTTTGCCTCAGTTTCCTCAACTGTAAAATGGGGATTTTGCACTTTGTGTCATAAATTGCAGTTCCCTTACAAGGTTGTTGTGAGGACCAAATGTAAAATACTTAATACAGTGCCTGGATCCTAGTAGGTGCTTAATAATTACTTATTTCCTTCCCTCTTAAATGGTTGTCCTGAGCAGTAAGGGGTTGAGTGATTTTCTCAGGGTTACACATCTCAGGAGTGGAACTTGAACCCAGTTCTTCCTCACTCTGAAGCTACTCTCTATCCATTGTGCCACATGGACTCTTGATTGTATTATGTAGGCAAATTTAAGATAGTTTGACTTGAAAGTCAACAGAATAAAATTTTGCTAAGTATATTACTCCCTATTTTCTAACCAAACTGGCCTACTCCCTGTTCTCCATGTGTAATATTCTGTCTGTTGTCTCCATACCTCTTCACAGGCTGTCCCTCATGCCTAAAATGCTCACTCTCCTCATCTCTCCAGAGTTTTTTAGAATCCTTGGAATCCTTAGTTCCCTGTCATCCACAGGAAGTCTTTCCTGTTTTCTCCTGTTGGAACACTCTCCCATCACAGAAATTGATTTGTATATTTTCTGTATATGAATATACTAGTATATCAATGTCATTTCCCAACTCCACCCCCAAAAGTATGAGGGCAGGGCCTGTTTCATTTTTTTCTTAATATCCCTAGTGCTCAGCACAGTGTCAGTCACATATTGGTGTTTGATAAAAGCTTTTCAAATTGAATTGAACTTGAAAAAAAAGATGAATGTTAGAAAATATATATTTTTTTAAAGAGCAAAATGCCAATCCTAAAGACATGGCCTCACCACTTAAAGAACAAAGAACATTGTTTAAAGAAAAAATGCTAACACCCATAATATGCCTTTTGGGGGTATGATCACATAATCACATGAACCAGCAGAAAGTGCTAGTATTGTCAGTTAGATTTTTAAAAATAATGCATTGAGTAATGGAACTATTTTTATTGTGGCATTAACAACCCAAGTGTATATTTTGAATTTCACACTAATGAAAAATTCTGACAAGATGAGGATATCTTAATATCAAATTAATGCTTTCCTCATAAAAATAATGGCTCATAAAAGTGTTTGAAATCATAAAATGACACTTCAGAAACCTGATAACAATTTCCTTTCTTACTTCACTTAGAAAAATTCTAAAATAAGAACAATGAAAACTAATGTGATTTTGAAGTATTTGCTGATTTGCAACTTGAATGAAACCAGAAAGTTGGAAGTGACTTTAAGTAAACTCATCAGTTCTCTTCTAATGCTTTTAGTTAGGTCTGCCTTAAACCAATCTAGTGAGGTGAGAATATATCCTCGCTTCAAATCTTTACATAACTGTTCTAGTGATAAATGAGACAAAAAGTTTGTGTTTCAGAACTGTAGTCAGTTAATTGGGTCTTCACCCATGTGTACAAGGAAAAATATGGTTATTTGCTGTATAACACCTTTGAAAGTATTGGAGGGTCTCAATCATAGTTGATAATTCTGTCTCTGAATGTCTTTCACAGCTCTTTCCACCATCATGGCATTTAATACATCTTCGTTTGGACATCCATTGGCTAGTGCTGGAAATTCTTCACATTCTAGGTGAAAAAGCATCAAGTAAGTCCATGGAGTGCCAGTGTATGTCTTGCCTTTCCATTAATTTCTTTTTATTCCTTCTTCTGACTGTCTTGCTGAATTATGTACATTTGGTGAAAATTATTTTTGGTTCTTTGTAAGGGAAAACTAGAAATTCCCACTAATATGTTAGCATTAAATTAACATTTAATATTTAGTGTCTGCTTAATGCTTGATCCTGGTTATTACGATATTCAAAAATATTTGATTTTCTTGTGGGTGCTCCCACTGACAAATCAAAATGCTTCTAGGACTTGGTATTTGATATTTAAGTTGCTGTGCCTGAAAAAGTCATCATCCTACTGCCAATCTAGTGCCTTAATGAAATTGCTTCTTGGCTGATGGGTGCAAAGCCCACTGCTGTTAGGCCTGCCCTCAAAGAGAGCTTCTTTGCTTTGGGAGGACCTGCCAAAGCTGACCCCAGCTTTCATAGCCTTCAAGAACCCAAGTAGCCCTCCATACTGCCATGAGGCATCAGACTAAGAATTTAATCAACAAATTACCACAGTACTTTGAAAAGACATTTTTTTTTCTGTTACTCAAGAAGTCAGCCCATGTTTTTTTCTTCTACATGAAACGTAGGTCTCCAAAGAATTCCTTTTAGCTGTAGTGGGATTGGTTGAGTTTGAGAAGATGTACAAATTTTGGTGACCTCCACTCCCTCTCAAACTGTTTTGTCGTCATCCCTGCTTTTGTCTCGTTTTTCTGGCTTAAAAGAGACAGAGTGGTATAGTGGGTAGAAATCTAGAAGATCAAGATTCACTTCTCTTCTGAGACATTCGATAGTGCTGTGATCCTGGGCAAATCACTTTATCTCTATGAATCTCAGTTTCTTATCTGTGAAAGGGGAAAATAATAGTGCTTCATTCAGTGTTGTTAACGTTGAGATTAATTTTTGTAAAGTGCATTGCAAACCTTAAAGCATTGTAAGAATGTTAAATATTATTGGTATCTGTTGTTATTGTAGTTCAGTCATGTTTGACTCTTTGTGACCCTGTGGACCATAGCACACCAGACACATCTGTCCTCCACTATTTTCCAGAGTCTGTCCAAGCTCATGTTTGTTGCTTTCATAACACTATCTAGCCGTCTCCTCCTCAACACTACCTATCCATCTCCTCCTCTGCTGTCACCTTCTCCTTTTGCCTTCAGTCTTTCCCGACATCAGGATCTTTTCCAGTAAATCCTGTCTAATGGTTATGTGGCCAAAGTATTTCAGCTTCAGCTACAGTATTTGTCCTTCCACTGAATAGTCTGAATTAATTTCTTTAAGTATTAATTGATTTGATCTACTTGCTGTTCAAAGGACTCTCAAAAGTTTTCTCTAGCACCACAGTTAGCAAAATGTTGATCCTACAGTATTCAGCTGTCCTTATAGTCCAACTCTCACAGTCATATATTACTACTGGAGAAACCATAGCTTTGACTATACGTGTCTCTGCTTTTTAATATGCTATCCAGATTTGTCACAGATTTTCCTAGCAAGTATCTTTTAATATCATCACTGTAGTTGCCATCTGCAGTGATCTTTGAGCCCAAGAATATAAAATCTGACACTGTTTCAATTTTTTTCTCCCTTTATTTGCCAGGAAATGATGGGACCAGGTGCTGTGATCTTAGTTGTTTTTTTAATGTTAAACTTCACGCCAGCTTTTACTCTCTCTTCTTTTACCCTCATCAAGAAGCGTCTTAATTCTTCTTTTCTTTCTGCCACCAGAATGGTATTACCCACACATCTGAGTTTGTTAACATTTCTTGGCAACTTTAATTTTTGTGTTTTGATTTATCCAGCCTGGCATTTTGTGTATTATACTCCGCATGTAAGTTAAATGAATAAGGTGACGATAGAAAGCCTCGTTGTACTCCTTTCCAATCTTAAACCAGTCAGTTGTTCCATGTTTGGTTCTAACTGTTGTTTCTTGACGCTCATACAAGTTCCTCAAGAGACAAATAAGATCATCTGGTATTCCCTTCTCTTTGAAAACTTCCCACATTTTTATTGTGATCCACACAGTCATAGGCTTTAGTATGGTCAGTGAAGCAGAAGTAGATGTTTTTTTCTGAAACTCTCTTACTTTCTCAATAATCCAGTGAAGGTTGGCAATTTGGTCTCTAATTCCTCTGCCTCTTTGAAAATCATCCAGCTCTTCTAATAGTTCTCGTTTCACATATTGTTAAAGCCTAGCTTGCAGAATCTTAAGAATAACTTTGCTGGCATGTGAAATAGTGTAGTTGAACAGTATTGAACATTCTTTGGCATTGACCTTCTTTAGGATTGGGATGTAAAATGATCTTTTCAAATCCGGTGGCCACTGTTGAGTTTTCCATATTTACTGATGTATTGATTGAAACACTTTAACAGTGTCATCTTTTAGGATTTTAAATAGCTCCTCTGGACTTCTGTCACCTCCATTAGCCTTATTGTTAGCAATGCTTCCTAAGGTCTGCTTGACTTCATTCTCCAGGATGTCTGGCTCTAGATCAGTATCCACACCATTGTGGTTATAGGTGATGTTAAGATCTTTCTTGTATGGTTCTTATGCATATTCTTGCCACTTCTTCTTAATCTCTTTGATTTCTGTTAAATCCTTGCCAATTTTTTGGTCTTTTTAAAAAATTTATTTCTTTTTAGTTTTCAGCACTCACTTCCAAAAGATTTTGAGTTCCGGATTTCCTCCCCATCTCATACCTCCCCCCATCTTGTCCCTCTCCCCGCCCCAAGACAGCTTGCATTCTGAATACCCCTTCCCCTAATCTGCCCTCTCTTCTGTCTCCCCCACCCCCTTTTTCTTGTCCCCTTCTCCTTCTATTTTCCTGAAGGGCAGGATAGATTTCTGTACCCCATTTCCTGTATATCTCATTTCCCAGTTGCATGTGAAAACAATTTTTAGCATTTGTTTTTAAAACTTTGGGTTCCAAATTTTCTCCCTTCCTCCCTCTCCACCCACCCTCATTGAGAAGGCAAGCAACTTGATACAGGTTATACATGTGCAGTCATGCAAAACGCTTCCATAGTAGTCATGCTTTGGAAAACTAACTATATTTCCCTTCATCTTATCTGCCCCCCTTTTATTCTGTTCTCTCTTTTGACCCTGTCCCTCCTCAGAAGTGTTTGCTTCTGACCTCTTCATGCTTCTTTTGAATCTTGTATCTGAAAGTTGAATTTTTTATTCACCTTTGGTCTTTTCATCAAGAATGCTTGAAAGTCTTTTATTGCACTGAATGTCTATTTTTCTCCCTGAAGGCTTATACTCAGTTTTGCTGGGTAGGTGACTCTTGACTGTAATCCTCTCTCCTTTGACCTCCAGAATGTTCCAAGCCCTCTGGCTCCTTAATGTAGAAGCTGCTAAGTTTTGTGTTATCCTGATTGTATTCCCACAGTACTTGAACTGTTTCTTTCTGGCTGCTTGCAATATTTTCTCCTTGATCTGGGAACTCTGGAATTTGGCTACAATATTCCTAGGAGTTTTCCTTTTGGGGATCTTTTTTAGGAGGTGATTGGTGGATTCTTTCAATTTCTATTTTGCCCTTTGGTTCTAAAATATCAAGGCAGTTTTCCTTGATAATTTCTTGAAAGATGATGTCTAGGCTCTTTTTTTTTGATCATGGCTTTCAGATAGTCCAATAATTTTTAAATTCTCTCTCCTGGATCTATTTTCCAGGTCAGTTTTTTTTCCAGCGAGATATTTCATAGTCTCCTATTTTTTCATTCTTTTGGTTTTGTTTTACAGTGTCTTGATTTCTCATAAAGTCACTAGCTTCCATTTGCTCCATTCTAATTTTTAAGGAAGTATTTTTTTCAGTGAGCTTTTGGACTTCCTTTTCCATTTGTCCAATTCTGCTTTTTAAGGCATTCATCTCCTCATTGGCTTTTTGGACCTCTTTTGCCATTTGGGTTAGGCTATTTTTAAAGGTGTTATTTTCTTCAGTATTCTTTTGGGTCTCCTTTAGCAAGCTGTTGACTTGTTTTTCATGATTTTCTTGTATCACTCTCATTTCTCTTTCCAGTTTTTCCTGTGTTTCTCTTACTTGCTTCTCAGAATCCTTTTTGAGCTCTTCCATGGCCTGGTACCGATTCATATTTTTCATGGAGGCTTTGGATGTAGGAGCTTTGACTTTGTTGTCTTCTTCTGGTTGTGTATTTTGGTCTTTGATCTTTGTGGTTTTTTTTTTGTCTTTTATCATGCCCATTTTTGCATGAAATGTTTCCTTAATAGCTCTAATTTTCTTGAAGAGTTGTCTTGTCTTTCCCATTCTCTCGTTTTCTTCTATTTCTTTACATTGCTCATTTAAGAAACCCTTCTTATCTCTCCTTGCTATTCTCTAGAATTCTGATTCAGTTGGGTATATCTTTCCCTTTCTCCTTTTCTTTTTGCTTTCCTCCTTTCCTCAGCTATTTATAAAGCCTCATGAGACAGCCATTTTGCTTTGTCACTCTTCTTTTTCTTTGGGATAGTTTTTGTTGCTGCCTCTTGTACAATATTGTAAACCTCTGTTCGTAGTTCTTCAAACGCTCTATCTATTAGATCTAATCTCTTAAATCTGTTCATCGCCTCTATTTCATATCCATAAGGGATGTTATTTAAGTCATACTGATAAGTCTAATGGTTTTCCCTACTTTCTTCAGTTTAAATTTCTCAATAAGAAATTTATGATCTGTCTGGGCCACAGTCAACTCCAGGTCTTGTTTTAACTGTCCATATAGAGCTTCTCCGCCTTTGGTTGCAAAATGTATAATCAGTCTGATTTAGATATTGACCATCTTGGGATATCCCTGTATAGAGTTGCCATTTGGGTTGCTGAAAAAAAAAGAGTGTTTGCTATGACCAGTGAGTTGCTATGACCAGTGAGTTATCTTGACAAGAGTATTAGTCTCTGCCCTGCTTCATTCTGTATTCCAAAGCCAAACTTGCCTATTATTCCAATTATCTTTTCATTTCCACTTGAGCATTCCAATACTTATGATAAATGTGACATCTTTTTTTTTTTGGTGTTATTTCTATAAGATGTTGTAGCTCTTCATAGAATTGAACAACTTTAGTCTCTTTGGCATCAGTGGTTGGAGCATTGACTTGTATCACAGTGATGTTATTTGTTTCTACTTCTTTCCAATTTGCTTTTATTTCTGTGACTCAGCTTGTACATTTTTTAGAATGAAGTATAACTTAAAATGGATTTAACGTTCAGGGCTTTTCATATTCTGGCCCCATCTGCCTTTCCAGTCATCTTACACCTTACTTCTCCCATGTATGCAGTGACCAAGTGACATTGGCCTCCTTCCTATTCCTCATAGGTGACATTCCATTTCCCAGGTTGAGCATTTTCACTGGCTGTCATTCATGCCTGAAATTCTTTCTAATCTCCATGTTCCAGTTTCCCTGACGTCCTTCAAGTCCTAGCTAAAATTCTACCTTCATACTGTCTTTCCCCTCGTTGATTATCACCAATCTTAAAAAGAGAGGCAGCAAGATAGCACAGCAGATGGAGCACTTGGATCTGAAATCACTAAGACTTGAGTTCAAATCCAGCCTCACATACTTACCAGCTTTGTTATCTTGGGCAAATAACTTTCAGTTTCTTCTTCAGAAAAATTGGGATAATCATGTACTTACCTCCCAAGGTGGTTGTAAAGATGAAGATGCTATAATATTTGTAAAATACCTTGTAACTTTTGAAGCTTATATAAATGCTGGTTATGATGATTATTGTTTTTATTATTAATCCCATCTATATTTTGTTTGCACGTAGCTCTTGACATGTTGTCGTTCCCATTAGTCTACAAGCTTCTTGAGAATAGGGACTATCTTTTGTCTTTCTTTGTATCCCTAAAGCTTGGCACAGTATCTGAAATATATTAGACAATTAATAAATGCTTGTTGACTAACAGACTGGTTGAAGCCCTTTCAGTTATTATTAAATAATTTAGATAAATGTGTTAAAGACTGTGGGAAAAATATGTTAATTTGCAAACCAAACATGAGAGAACTTTTGGTAATGCTTCTCAGTAATGGTGGCAAAGAGTATGTATCTTTCTTTGTAAACCAACATATCTAGTATAGTACTTGTAAGGAGCAGTTAATGGGAGTGAATATAGCTGTGCTTTTCTGTTCGTGAAATTTTATAGGACCGAGGTATAGGATACATTTTGAAAAGATTTCATTTTTTTGATTTTCTAGAACAAGTCGTGTATAGTCATAAGTTAATGAATATGGTTGGTGAGAATTTGACCAGTGTCAGTCTGTTTAAAGAACATTGTGAAAATCTGCTTTGTGACCTGATATGTTTATCAGTCAGCAGGTATGCCAAGGTAATGATATATGAATTTTCTTTCATCCTTTTGACTGTCCAGGATTGTTTTTTGATTTAGTGTGTATGTATGGCTTCCATTTACAGAGAAGAACTTAGTCAAAAATATTTAATTTGTCAATATTGCAAATCCCATGATGTTTATTTAAGTACCTCCTGACAGCTGAATGGGGAAAAAAAAATATTAAAGACCAAGTGTACTAGCCTCAGAATGAAGTTTAATGCTACTAATTAAAACAAAAAGATCTTCCAGTTCCTAAAAAGCAAAACAGAATGCCTGTGGTCTTGTTAGGGAGTTAACTGGACAGTTATATGAAAGGTTAAAAGGTAATTTTCCATGTAGTACTTTAGAATAGTCCTTCATCAAGACAGCTCTTTTCATGAATGTTAAATGTTTTTATCTTGGCAGGTGGTAAGAATAGTAGATTGAAAAAAAAATCTCCCTTCCACTTACCTTCTCTTTTTTTTTCCTCCGCCTCCCTTAACTACCTTTCCCTTAACTACCTTTCCCTTAACTACCTTTCCCTTAACTACCTTTCCCTTAACTACTTCTCATTCAACTTTCTAGTTCTCTGGAGTCTATAAACTGCTGGCCAATAATGACCCTGAACAACAATAAAACCAACACGTTATTTAGTGGAAAACCTTAAAGTATCAAAACATCTATGGTTTTGTGATTGTCACTAATGTTGAAATAAGTGAGCGTAGCCCTGTAATGATGTGTTCCTACACTGCTATCTAGTGATGAGATAAGTGGGAAGCAGTTGAACAAAGATAGCTGGCCGGCTTTGAGAGCTTTGGCTTGATTTATAAAAAGTCTGGGGTCATAAGAGAGATCATACATTATACAGTATTACAGAATATTTTTTTATACAGTAAATCAGTAAAGTTTAATGGCCTTGATTGTTTTCATATTCTAGCTGGTGGTTAAAAAGAACTACATTTTATTGACATAATTTCAGGAGATGGAAAGGTCTTGGGTCTCAGATTTATAGATTGATATCACTTAATTTCAAAGACCACAGATGAGATCATCACAGACCCATTGAAGTATTGAAGGTGGCTTAATTTTTAATCTCAAACATACATTTAGATCTAAGCTTTGAACAGATCAAGAATTTATTGCTCCTTCTTACTTAGTTTATTTTTTTTTCATACTTAGGATCTTTTATGTCTGTGGTTAAGCTTTTACTCAAAAGCCTATAAGCATTACCCACATGTGTTCTTTTAAGGGTAATCCACACAAATACATTCATGCTTACAATTGAAATAATTCATGCTGTAATTAAATAGAGAAGAGTAATGTAAACCACACAATTAAAATACCTACTATCCATCATGTTAAAAGAACGTCTGCCTCCTATTGATTTACAGAAATACAGATTTATGAAACATTGGAAGTTTAATTATTCTTCCTACAAAAATATATGTGTTCATGCATACTTCTGTTCCACCAACAGCCATTAGAGATATTTTTATATTGCAAAAATATTGCATAATTTGGAATTCATTGTGTCTTTACAAACTGTATTTAATAAAAAAAATTTGTCTTTTACTATTAGATAATGAATTCGAGTCCTTCCCATCTATCCTATTCTTTTCATTAAAAGTCCTTTTTCATTCTGGTAGACTGAATAAATAACATTGGAGCAGATTTGATAAAAGCTTGACAGTAATGCACACTTGATCTTTTGGTTATGTAATTATTTTTTTGCTGTGTATTGGAGATTTCTTTTAGAAGTTATCAAATGATACATTTTGCTTAAAACTATTCTATAGTTGGTCACAAATTTTGAAAGTTATCAAAGGCAGCATGGTATAGTCAGGGAGCTGGCCTTGGAGACAGAATTCCCTGACTCCCTTTAGCACAGTACCTAGCACATACTAGGTACTTATTAAATGTTTATTAAATTCAGTTGAATTGATTCCAGGTCCTGCCTCTTACATATAATGGCTGTGATCCAGGCCAGGTCATTTAACCTCTCAATGCCTTAGGCAACTCAGTAAGACTATAAGTGACTGAGAAAGTGCAGAATTGCATTGTAGGAGTTTCTTCTTCCCATAGTTCCTTATATCTGTGAAACCACTATTCTAGTCCCTATTCCTATCAAAGCAAATTGGGAAGTGGAGAGCATATAATTTCTTTAAAAACAACAGGAGAAGGTAAATCCTATTTCTGTGTTATTGATTGCTTTTTTTATATTTCCTTTCTCAGGTTAGACCATCTGAAGCTTTAACAAGTCACCACTGTTCCTGCTTGTGCATCAAAGAATTATGGGTCCTGCTTATTCAACTTCTTGACCATAGAAGCCAAGGATGTCACACAGAAGTAAGCTGCAGTTTATAAAAAAAAAATTGTATTTATTTATTTATATGAGTGCATCAAAGCTAATATAACTTTGTTGCAACAACCCTGTGAGAAAGGTAGTATGTTATTTATTAGCCCCATTTTATAAATGAGGAAATTGACCTCATAAAACTTAAATGACTTGGTCAGGTTGTCAGAAGCAAGACTCGAAGCCAGGTTTCCTAACTGTAAGTCTAGTGCTGTTTTTCACTACACTACACAATTATCTGCAACATCTTAGCAAATGGCCTTAGGATTGACAACTCTTGATTATTCAGCATTTTGCTGAACCAAATATTGTCTTTTAAATTCTCACTCCCACAATTTATTTGAATGTGTGAGTTAGGCAACTATTCATGGTGTTTATAGTACTGTAAGAATATAAGCAGGTCGAATAGAACATGCATTTACTAAGCGCTTACTATGTGCCAGTAGAATGTGAGCTTCCTAAGAGCAGGAATTTTTTTCTTCCCTCCCCCCATAGTCACAGTTCCCAACGTAGTAAGCACTTAATGTATGCTTGTCTAGTTGAAATGGAATTGAATTTTCTTCATAGCATGGATTTGTTATTTTGTTTGAAGTACTCTGAATTCTTAGAACAGCAGACACTTATATGCAAGTTAAAGCATGTAAAAACATTTAGTGTGATAAATATGCTTTATGGTAGGTATTCAGGAAATTTTGATTTACTGAATCTTGGTTGTTTTAATTTGTAGATATTATTGCCTAAATCCATTAACATGCATAATCAAGAGTAGATTAAATGAATTTAGAGGGAAAGGAGATTTTTGTTGTTGTTGATCTCAATTTTTATCTCAATTTTTAAAAAAAATTGACAATTTTATTTTTGTGGATTTGCTGGCTTTCATTTAAATTATATGCAGTTATTACATATGCACAAAATTAATATATATTTTAAGTACTTTACTTTAGATGTTAGCCTAATAAATATTAACCTCTGTAATTCCTGTGTTGCTTGTAGGCTTTTCTTCTGTGAAAGGTAGCATGGCATACTGGATAGGGAATTGCCCTCAAAAATCAGTAAGACCTGGGTTCAAATGCTGCCTCAGACACATACTGGCTGTGTGATCAAAGTTACTGTGTGAGCAAGTTACTTAACCTCTCAATTTGCCAGACAACCCTCTAAGGTTAGAAGTTACAGTCAGAGCCAGTCTGCATTGGCCAGAGGAGTTCACTCTATTAGTGAAATCATAGGTCCAATCCAATTTATTTTATATTAAAAGTAATAATCTGAGTTATAATTTTAACAGCATTTTATGTGAATTGTATATTTAATTGCATGTTGTCCTTTTGCAAAACATTTTGTAGGATGCTTAGGCACCTCACCTTATACTACTTACTCGTGGTGATCACAAGCAAGGGAAGCTGAATGAAGACAGTTGTTGCCTATAAGCAGTACCCTTTCTGTTAGAGGAAGAACTGGAGACATTTTACTAGGAATTTTGGTAGCATGTTCTTCCCTTATTTAACCATATATCTGGAAATACAGAGATTTCATTGTGATGATGGAGGATGATGAAAAATTTGTTGGAGACTGATTTGGGAAGAAGAAACAAAAAAGGTCAAAGTTTTTATATGACACCCAAATATGCTATGACCTTAAATCATTAATGCTTCTGTTAGGAAAACAATCAGAAGAAGCTGTACATGCCCTGAACAGCATCATAAAAGAAGCAATTGATAGAACAACATGTATAGGAGTTGTTCCAGCATCAGCTGCCTATGTATAGTCAGATCATCTACTGATTAGAACTGAAGTTAAATTTAAATACAAATAAGAAGAATAAATACAAGATGATGATATCACATGCAGTTATCTATGCTTGCAGTTATAACAGCTTTAGCCATTCTTATTTCATAAAAAGAAGCCGTTTTGAAAAAATGGGAAATGGATAAAAGCATACAAATTGACTCTGATGATTGCTGTTTCTTAGTGAAACTTAAATATAAAAATAATTTTCATAACTGGAGTCTTAGAAACCACCTGAGTTAATGAACACTTGATATGATGAAGAGAGAATGGTACTTGAGATACTTGACCAAATATACACAAAGGAAATCTGTGCTGGAGGTAACACAATTTTAAAGGTACTGAGGGATGCATTTTCATATTTGTAAGAGTATACAATTCCTAAAGAATGGAAAATATCTCAGAATGTATTATTACCAAAAACGTGACTAAGACTCACAGAATCTTAGAATCAGAAGAAACCTCAGAGGCTGCCTAATTAATCAGTCACTACTAACCCACATGACTACTTATCATCCCTATAAAATCTTTATGACAATAGCCTATGAAAATGTTGAGAGTCTCTGATGAAAATATGATAAGATAAACAGGCAGGCTCTTGTAGTTCTCTCTGTGAGAGAATCTGCATTGTCTTGCAGTAGTCTGAGAGGTGTAGAAATTATAAGATTTTGTTTTTATTTATTGCTTATTGATTACAAAAAATCATTCAACTTGATAGAGCAAAATGCAAAATCAACAACAAAATTTCTCCTGTGATTATGTTATAATAATGCAGAAGTCCTTAATAGAAGCAACCACAGAGATGTTTGTTTAGTCATACTTTTATTATCAGGTAAAACATAAGACAGGAAGACTGTGCTGACCACTCTTATGAAAGAGGTTCTGAAAGAGTCGAAAAGGAAAAGGAATTCCTTATATATAGTGGGTCACTTCACATGTCCCTTTTGATTGTTTTGAGACCAAGAATACTCTGGCATGCCCTCAGTAAAATCTGTAGCCACAGAAAAGAGACTGGCATAGGAGAAAAGCAAGTGGATAAAGAATACACGCAAATAAATGAAAGAAAGAAAAAGCATACCCTAAGCATCTATTTCATGCTGTATACTCTGCTTTATTCGATTATTCACATGCAATTGGATGAACAACCTACTTAATTAATTCATTAGTACATTTGCCTTGGAGAGGCACTGCAGATGAATGATGAACTGGGCTCAGAATTTAAGAAGAGAAATACAATGGGCTGTCCTCCACTTCTGAGAATGTGTGGCACCTTTAATGATCTCATTCATCCTCCTAATACCAGTATTCTCTTGATGATGTTATATGTTTGTGAATCATGGACTTTTGTGATCTCAGAAGATACATCATTGTAGATAACCCAAAGGACAATAGAAAGAAGCAAGACATTGCTAGTCAGTGCTATAAAATATATTACCAAAGGCATGTATGACAAGAATAAGAAGTATTGAGTGCAAGGGATAAGAGATGGGTAGGTAGCCAAAAGGTTGCACTGGAATCAGTGAAATTTTAAAAGGTTCAGAGTGAGGCCTCAAGCATTTTTGGCAGATATTATGTGAGAAAGGATATGTGCAAGAAGCCCACAAGAAGTCTGATTGGAGACTCTGAGCAATTAGGGTCATACAGGATAAGAAGAGATTGATAAGTTTCATTCTGCATTGGTGTAGATTAGTACCAAAATCTATGAATTAATGGGTCTACTGAGGTATTGATGCCTATTGATGCAAATTAATATTCTACTCTGTTGTAGTCTTAAAATAGGGACTTTTTTATGAGTAAATTTTAATTCTGTGTCATAATAATTCATGTTGACATTGCAAAGTGTCACAAGTAATCAGTGGTATGTGATGGAAAAAGCGCTGGTCTTTGGAGTCAGAAGATCTGAATTCAAGTCCTGGTTTCAACATTTATTCAGTATTTGGCCCTGAGTAAATTTTGTGTCTTCCTTAAGTTTCAGTTTTCTCACTTGTAGATTATGGATAATAGCATTTGTATTAACCTACATTGAGGACTGTTCTGAGAAAAGTTCTACAGAAATGGACAATAAATAAATGAATAATGATAATAATGATGACTTAACAATAATCTTTTTTTCTTTGTTTAGTGACCAGCATGCATTGAATTTTAATTACATGTTCACCTGTTTGCCATGTCTGTTTTTACAAAATATTTGTGTTTTGAACATATGTTTTATTTAAGAAACTCATACATGTGTATTTTAAACAGATTTGGGTTCATTGAATCAGTGGGCAAGTAAATTGTTATTTACAAATCGATTTCAGTATTTCGGTATCTTTAGATTAGGTAATAAGGCATAGTGTCTTCTTGTCCATCTTTCAAGCTGCAATTGTAGTGTCTTTTTTTAGATTTGATTTTAACATTCAGTTTTTCATTCTGTATTTTAGATGTGAGCAAAATGCAGCGTGTTAGCCTATGCAATTCCTGTGCTTGCAGCCTTTTCTTCTAGGGGGCTAGAATTTGCTTGCTTTTAAATAATGAAAACCTCTGATAATTTCAGGGCTTTTCAAAGCTACTGAATAATGAGTGATTTGATTCATATTTTTATGACAATTTTATTATAAAACTCAAAATACATGATCCTAGAAGAATGTTTTAATTTAATTGCATTTGAATCACTTCTGTTTCTATAGCCCTTTTGGAGATGGATGAATAAACTACTAAGGAATCTTTTTAAGAAGCCAAATGATACAGAACAGCCTTCTATTCCTGTTGTCCCCTCCAAGGATCCATTGGGCTTTAGTTGGTGGATTATTACTCACCTAGCATCATTTTATCAATTTGACCGTAATGGAGTGCTAGATAAAAAGGTAATATCTTAATTCCTCTTGCTTTTATCTTAAAATAGTGGGTTTTAACCATAAAATTGATATTCTTTTTTTTCCCACCCCCTTTCATTGTGATTGTGATTGAACGTTTTACTTGTTATTTTATGTTCATTTGTGGTAATCACATAAGACATAGGGCTGTGTTCATTTGTGGTATGCACATAGGGCTTAGGCTTCTCGAGAACAGGGATGAGTTCATTTTTTTGGTCTTTGTATATACAGTGCTTGACACATAGTGGGCACTTAAATGCTTACTGATTGATTCTAGAGGGCAAAGATATCCATAGGTTTGATGATTCTTCCTTTAGAACATAAAAAGTGCTCTAATTACAAATGTAAATATCTAAAGGTTAATGTTTATTAATACTGCTACTTGGTAAAATAATTAAAGCCAAGGATATGCCCTGAGTGCTGTGAAAGACATTTTACCTAATATAAGACTGTAAAGAGCTTTGGGCTGGAAGTTAAATAATTTACTGGGGACCTTTGTTCTAGGCTCACCAACCATCTTGCAGTGTGACTATAGGAAAATCAACTAATCTCTCTGGACTTTAGTCTTCTGATACGCAAAGTGAAGGAATCGGACTAGATAATCACTGAGGACTCTGCAGTCTTTAACATACTGTTTTGGTAGTGTCAGTACTACTGATATAGCCACTTACTAGTGTCGGTCACTTACATGGCCTTGAAAGCACTGACCACAGTTCTCTGGACCACAGGAAGAAAGGATTGTTTTAAGAATAACTTCGAGCGAATAAGTTATTTTGACTATTATAAATACCCAAATTAACCACATGGGACATATGAAGAAGACACTGTCTTCATTCAGAGAAAGAACTAATAAATAAAAGTATGTATAGAATAATTTTATACATATACATACATATATATATATTCACACACACACATATATTTATGTCTAATGGTGGCCATCTCTAGGGAGAAGGAAAAAAAAAGAGAAATTAACATGATAACTTTATTGTATTTTTTAAAAGAATAGCAAGTTGTACATAATAGATTTTCAGTTTCATGTGCAGTGATATTTTTTTTTATTATACTATGTTATGGAAAGGCTTATTTTATTTCATAGATTAAAATATAGAAATCTTAAAAAAATCTCCTGGCCCTGATAGCAGTTAGGGGTCCTAATCACAGCCTTGGTGAGTCCTCATGGTTCTGAAGGGGACAAGTGTTCCATATCACTGAGGCACGAGGTTGAGACCTCTGTCCCTTGCTTCCAGTCCTGAATCACAGTGTCATGCTCATCAGGATTTATTTTTTTTAGGGATCTTTTTTTTATATAAATTTATTTATTTTTAGTTTTCAACATTTACTTCCACAAGATTTTGAATTCCAAATTTTCACCCCATCTTGCCCCTCCCCCACCCCAAGATGGCATGCATTCTGAATACTCCTTCCCCTAGTCTGCCCTCCCTTCTACCTCTCCCCCCCCTTCTCTTATCCCCTTCCCCTTCTATTTTCCTGTAGGGCAGGATAGATTTCTGTACCTCATTTCCTGTATTTCTTATTTCCCAGTTGCATGTGGAAATATTTTTTTTAAACCTGTGCTTTTTAAAACTTTGGGTTCCAAATTTCCTCCCTTCCTCCTACCCCACCCAACCTCATGGAAAAGGCAGGCAAGTCAATACAGGTCATACATGTGCAGTTATGCAAAACACTTCCATAGTAGACATGTTGTGAAAAACTAACTCTATTTCCCTTAATCCTATCCTGCCCCCCCATTTATTCTATTCTTTCTTTTGACCCTGTCCCTCCTCAGAAGTACTTCCTTCTGATTACCCCTTTCCCAATCTGCCCTTCTCTCTATCATCCCCCTGCTCTCTTGTCCCCTTCCTCCCCTATTTTCCTGTAGGGTAAGACAGATTTCCATACGCAATTGAGTGTGTATGTTATTCCCTCCTTAAGCCAAATCCTATGAGAATAAGATTCCCTCATTTCCTCTCACCTTCCCCTGTTTCCCCTCCACTATAAGAACCTTTTCTTGTCTGTTTTGCGCGAGATAATGTACCCCATTCTACCTTTTGCTTTCTCCTTCTCCTAGTATAATCCTCTCTCACACCTTAATTTTATTCTCCAGATATCATCCCTTTATCTTCAACTCACCCTGTGCCCTCTATCTATCTATCTATCTATCTATCTATCTATCTATCTATCTATCTATCTATCTATCTATCTATCTATCTATCTATCTATCTATCATATATGTTTCCCCTCCCACTACCCTAATACTGACAAAGGTCTCCTGAGTTATAAATATCATCTTTCCATGCAGGAATGTAAACAGTTTAGTCTTAATAAGTCTTTTATGATTTCTCTTTCCTGTTTACCTGTTCATGTTCCATTTGAGTCTTGTATTTAAAAGTCAAATTTTTTATTCAGCTCTGGTCTTTTCATCAAGAATGCTTGGAAGTCTTCTATTTCACTGAATGACTGTTTTTTCCCCTGAAGGATTATACTCAGTTTTGCTGGGTAGGTGATTCTTAGGTTGTAATCCTATCTTCTTTGCCTTCTGGAATGTTATGTTCCATGCTCTGCGGTCCCCTAATGTAGAAGCTGCTAAATCTTGTGTTATCCTGAATTGTTTCTTTCTGGCTGCTTGCAATATTTTCTCCTTGACCTGGGAAGTCTGGAATTTGGTTACAATATTCCTAGGAGTTTTCCTTTTGGGGATCTCTTTCAGGGGAGATTGGTGATTCTTTCAATTTCTATTTTGCCCTCTGGTTCTAAAATATCAGGGCAGTTTTCCTTGATAATTTCTTGAAAGATGATGTCTAGGCTCTTTTTTTGATCATGGCTTTCAGATAGTCCAATAATTTTTAAATTCTCTCTCCTGGATCTATTTTCCAGGTCAGTTGTTTTTCCAATGAGATATTTCACATTGTTTTTTTTTTCATTCTTTTGGATTTGTTCTACTGTGTCTGATTTCTCATAAAGTCACTAGCCTCCAATTTCTCTGTTCTAATTTTTAAGGAAGTATTTTCTTCAGTAAGCTTTTGGACTTCCTTTTCTATTTGGCCAATCTTTCTTTTTAGGGCATTCTTCTCCTCATTGGCATTTGGACCTTTTTTGCCATTTGGGTTAGGCTATTTTTTAAGGTGTTATTTTCTTCAGTATTTTTTTGGGTCTCCTTTAGCAAGCTGTTGACTTGTCTTTCATGATTTTCTTGCATCACTTTCATTTCTCTTCCCAGTTTTTACTCTACTTCTCTTACTTGCTTCTCAAAATCCCTTTTGAGCTCTTCCAAGGCCAGGAATGGATTCATATTTTTCTTGGAGGCTTTGGATGTAGGAGCTTTGACTTTGTTGTCTTCTTCTGGTTGTATGTTTTGATCTTCTTTGTCACCAAAGTAAGATAATATAGTCTGACTCTTTTTGTGAGGTTTACTTATGATCCCAGCCAACTGCTTGAGTTTTAAACTCTTTGTTAAGGTAAAAGTTTGCTTCCAATGTGGAGAATGTACTGTCCCAACCTTCGGGGGTTTGTGTAGCTGTTTTCAGAGATACTTCTAGAGACCCGTAAATTTTCAGTTTTTCCAAGGTGGTATGATAAGGGTTGAGGTGTGTACTCTTTTCCTGGCCTGTGCTCTGGTCTTTGAGTGACTGGCCACAGGCAGTCTTTTCTCTCTTGGAACTGTGAGGAGGGTTTCCTCTGCACCGCCACTACGAGCGCCACCGCACCAGTGCTCCTCCTCACCCCAGGACTGTGACCCAGATCCAAGCACAGGCAAAGCAAGAGATTCCTGCCTCAGCACTGGCAAAGAGATCACTGCAGTCTGTTGTCTCTGATCAGCCGCTTGATTCCCCCTCAGTCAGTGGGCTGGAAGCTCAGGACACAGCCACCACCCTGGCCCGCGCACTGTACTCTGGAACTGGCTCTGACCTAGCTCTTCTCTCACCTCAAAAACAGACTTTTCCCACCGACCTTCTAAGTTGTCTTTGGCGTTCGTGGATTGAGGAGTCTGGAAACCGCCACAGCTGCCTGTGATTCAGTCCTCTGAGGCCTGCGTGCCCATGCCAAACTGAGCTTCTCTACCTGCCCAGCGTGATATGTCTTTCTGATCAACCATCTTGACTGTCTTGGGCTGGAAATTTGTTTTACCCTGTCTTTTTGTGGATTCTGCTGCTTTAGAGTTTAGAGCCATTTTTTTATGGGTGTTTGGAGGAGTTTGGGGGAGAGCTCAAGCAAGTCACTGCTTGCCCTCCACCATCTTGGCTCCGCCACCTCATCAGGATGTTGAGGTGGCTATCAAGGTCCTAATCCCAACCTTGGTTAGCAGTTTATGGATGTAGTGGGATGAAGAAGACCTTCCCATTGAACCTCAAGCTCACCAAGCCAAGCTCTTGCTTTGGGATAGTAATTTAGCTGCCTGGTTGATTGATCCCCATTGTTGTGAGCACTGGTCCATGAGCCAAAAGGAGGGGATACAGGGATCCCTACATGTAGTTCAGTGGCCTGATTCTTGCCTACTCCAAGATGGATGGGAAGTAGCACTGAGACTGCTTCTTCTTCCTTGTCCATGGAGGTACAACTGTCAGGCTACTTAGTTTTGGTCAGTGGCTAATGGACTAACGGAATGTACCTGTGACTCTGTCTTTGACTGTTGCCCACCTAACTGGTCTGTTTGGATCCTGGCAAAAAGGGATGACTTTTATTAATTTTTTTTTTTAGACAGTTGGGGTTAAGCAACTTGCCCAGGTCACACAGCTAGTAAGTGTCTGAGGTCAGATTTGAACTTGGGTCCTCCTGACTCCAGGGCTGATGCTCTGTCCACTGTGCCATCTAGCTGCCCCTCATCCATTCTTTAATAGAAAAACTGTAAATATATTGTAAATCTACAAATGGACTATTATCTTGAGATCACCTTAAAAATAGGAGGTAGGGAATTTTTAAGCAGTATTTTGATATCTTTTATGATTAAAAGATTCTAAGAAAAATGTTTTAGTTTGTTGACCAAGGCCTTT